CCATGAAAGTTGTTTAAGATAGGATTGGCCAATTGGAGTTCCTTTGTGTTTACCTTCATTTGGCACGAACTAATTTGATAAGCTTTTCAGTTATATATGTTCTTTCTTAAGGTCGTGTTGTACTAATCTTTATTCAACTAACCTTTTTAGTTTATTTAATTAGTTAGCAATATTATAATATTAATCTTTTTTATATATTTAAAATTATTTAATATATAATATATAACTAATTGATAATTAAATTTTATTTTAAATTTAAAATTTTGAATAAATAAATAGTGTATATATTATCGTATTAAATAGATAAATTACTATTATATATATTATTATATTATTTTAATATTTATAAATTTTTAATACATATTTTGTAATTACCATATTTTTATATTTTGAAATTTAAATAATAATTATATTTATATATATATATATATATATATATCATATTATACAAATTTTTAAAAAAAAAAATTGATACGTGTTAATTTTTACTTTTACTTAATATAAAATAATAGATAATAGATATTGTCCCACGCATTATACATACACCGACTTTGTATATGAAGGTGTATATATTTTATACATACACAAACATATACATATATATATTTCCAATTTGAGCTTAGACATATAAAACAAGTTGAGAAAACTTGACGTACGCTGATGAGCTTGCTAAATTAGAATCCTTCTAAGCACGCCATTATCTATATACGTTCACATAGTGATGCCAACAAAATTTTATCATTTAATTAGTAAGGTTTTATTCGTTAAGTTATTTTGATACGTTGAGAGTTTTAATTTAAAAGGAACCGTGAAAGTTTTTGTATATAAAAAATAATAATAATTGAAAAAAACTGGCATTTAAGGTAAAAGGTAAAAGTAAAATTTTGTAAAAGAATTAAGTTTGACTTTTCAAACCAACAACAAGTACAAATAGTCCATCACCTGGATTTGCCTAATTGTACTTCGCATGCCACTTAAGTGCTTAAACACTTCTTAGACTCCTCACAAAATGACAGCTTATCCATACTACTCTCCTCCGCCACCTTCTCCTCCAACTTCAGTTTACCAACCTCCACCCTCTCCGGCTGAACCCCCAACTCCGGCGAACCAACCTCCGCCACCGCCGCCGAAACCTCAAACTCCAAAATATCAACCGCCACCACCACCGGCAAAACCTCCAACTCCAGGGGAACATTCTCCACCACCGCCACCAACCCAAGTGGACTACCCTCCACCACCTCCTCCTATAAGCTATATCCCCCAATCTCCGCCACCACCAACAGGCTACCCCTTCCCCCCATCACCTCCGTTAATCTACAGCCCTCCACCTCCTCCAGTACCTCCACCTCCACCAGTACCACTTGGTCCAGTACCTCCGCCGCCGCCGCCGGGATCGGACCACACGGTTATCATCGTGGTGTTCACCTCGCTTGGTGGACTGTTTTTCCTTGCATTCCTGTTCGTGGGTCTCCTCTGCTTAGCAAAGAAGAAGAAGAAGTATCCAGAAATGGCGGGCGCCGCCGCTGTTGCAGGTGGCGCTGTTGCGTTGGAGGAGCATGAACATATTCACGAGACGATCATCACGGGGCCTTGTGGAGAACAGGTAGTGACGATAGATGATGATATCGATGTTCACGAAATTACAAGCGTCGGCGGTGGTGCGGTTGCGGCGGCAACGAGTATCCAAGCAGGGCACAACCAGCCCGGCCTTTCTTCTTCCCCCCGAACATGACATCGTCCCCGAACGTTGCCGAGTCCATATATAAAATATATATTATACATGCATATATACAGTGCCGCGTCATGCATGTTGTCATTCATTAATCACGTTCATGTGTGTGTGTGTGTGTATGGATACTTGTAACTACTCTCTGTTGTTTGCTTTTCCCATGCTTTTGGTGATTTGTGAAGTTCAATTGTTGTTTTTGTTGGGATTGATTTGGATGATACACTTAGTACCATTAAGTTTGATATGGGATTTTAATCTATACAATGTAAATCATTGGTTTTATTGTGTATATACACATTATGGATCTCGCTCTAATTGTTTTATATATATATATATATATATTATCGTATTAGCACTAGAAGAAGAAATCTGAAGTTCAGTTAATTCCTACCTTTACGATTTGACAAACACAAAAATTTGGCTGGCTTAGAATTTTGTATCAAAAATAATTTTGGATCGTGCCTAATTTAAAATTATTATTATATGATAACGTTATTATAAATATTTAATCATGTTTTGTAGATTCTTTGGAGGGTATTTTATTATCTCACTTTATTAATATAAATTAATATACCTTTATTTAAAAAAAAAAAAAAAACATTACACATTTAGCGAATTATTTATTGAATTGACGAACATAAGCAAAGCCCATGGCCCAAAAAAATTGATAAAGAAATCCAATTGGTCCCATTTGATGCCCGAATGATCTTGTGTATAAATTTTTATAAGAATAATAATAAAAATATATTCGAACGTTTCTGTCAGCGTACGTGGAAGAACTTCTTTCTTTTAAGGAATCCGGCAAGAGCTATTTCCTTACATTTATCGTGATACAAAGTTGCATATTAACAATAATAGAATTAATTACATCATAATAATATTTTTAAAATTTTAGATCAATATAAATATTATTTTTGTCGTATGAATATTTATTTAATAGTATTAGATATATCATTAGTAAAAAGAAAATACATGTTATATTTATACTGAAAAATAATTTAAATTTAAATTTATATAAATAATGAAAAGACTTTATTACGTATTATTTTTTATAAAATGAGTTAGTATTTTAGTTTTTTTTTTGTAATAATTTTTAAATTATTATGTGATAAATTTTTATCCTCTTAATTATTTTAATTTGTTTAATTTTATAATTCCGTAAGTCCAAATGTGCTATTGTCATTTTGCTTTTAAAAAATAACGAGCTTTTTAAAGATAAAATATTAAACTATAAGTTATTAGAATGTCAAATAAAATTGTAGAATTAAAATTACAATTAAGCAAAACTACAAGGGTGCTAATGGGTATTTTATCTTAATAATTTTAAAGTGTAAAATTATCAAATTAGTAACGAAAATTGGAAAATATAAGTATTATATAACCATTTTAATTTTTAAGTCATTATAATAAAGTGCAAGTAGTTAAACAATTTAAATATGATATAACTATTTTAATTTTAAATATGTTTACTTTTTATATATTAAAATAAAAATAATTATATATAAAATTTATTATTTTAAAATATTTAATAAAATAACGTCAGACATATCGTAATAATTAATTTAATAAAATTTAAAATTTTATTTATTAATGTATTAATAAGATTACGATAATTAAATTAAATTTTGTTAAATAAGTATATATATATTTAAAAATAAAAAAAATAATTTTTTAATTAAAATAATTACGACAAATAAAAAAAACAACCTACTATTTTGTGTGTGTGTATATATATATATATATATGTATTTCTAAGGTTGTTATAGTTAATTATGTGAGATATTGTCAATTACGAATCGTTTACATATATATACAAGCACAAACACACACACACACACGCACGCACATTAGGCCGTTATTAGTTTCTCTGGTTAATTAATTATCCTTGAGTGCCTTGTAAGTATATTCATAAATTGGTTATCTATTCAACAGTGTCATGCGTTGACAATTACTAACTACCTACTTGTTGTACATTAATTATTGACTAATCATTTTTCATAAACAAAATTATTAACTAATTATATAAAACACGTCCAGTTGTGCTCTGAGAGTGAGATGACACATTGAATATTAATTGCTGTTAGTTGTGTTTGTGTGTACACACACACACATATATTGTTGGTATTAAAATTGTTATATATATTTAATGTAGATTACGTAATTTTTTTTTTATTGTAGATTTTTATCTTTTTATTTTGTATTCTAATTAATCCACTGCTACAGTTCTGAAACAACTTATAATTAATTTAGTTTTTGATTAATCCACATAACAATTAAAGCCGTCGGTACAAAATTAACTTATAATTATTAATTAATTATCTGTTAATATGATACATTATAACAGTTTGAACTCTAATATAGGTAAGTACGAATGTTAGCACAATATTTTTAACTAATTAAACAAATAAATATTAAATATGTAGCGGAACTACACTTTAATATATATTTATTATGACTGGATAATTATTTGTTCACAAATAATTGAGAGATCTAAATTAATTTACAAATATAAAATAGAAACAAATAAGGTTTCTTTCTCCGTCTTCTATTGATCTTAAACTTCCTCTGACCTGGATGGAAGGTGAATTGAAGTGAGCTTCACAAGCTCAGTAAGAAAAATGATTATATCACAGAGATTTACATACATACATTCACAAAATATATAAAATATAATAATATTTATCATAAAAAAAAA